AGGCAATTGGGGTTAAGTGACTTGCCCAGGGTCACCCAGCTAGTAAGTGTCAAGTGTCTGAGGCTGGATTTGAATTCAGGTCCTCCTGACTCCAGAATCTGTTCTATCTACTATACCACCTAGCCGCCCCTCTTATCAACCTTTATTACTGTATTTTGAAATGGTCCTGTGAAGTCTCATTGCTTGGTATGTTGCTACTGTTGCTTCCTTGTAATAGCGGGGAAAATGGGAGTAAACACTGGGACAGATGGCAGACATGATAGGGGACATTTGGGTAGTCTCAACCCCTGTCTTTTGTAACATACTGCTTTTGGTAACATACTACAGTCCCTTTATATGCCCATTTCCCCTTTTTTGGTATTAAAGAGATTATCTTTTGAAGCAGTGAGCACTTGGGGTATACCCAGAGTACTATGCAATTCCCTAAATGTCATCTGGCCTAAGCACTGCCTGGCATATACATATATACACACAGGTATGTAGGCATATATGTACATATATATATGTATATATATATATATATATATATACACACACACATATGTATGTGTATGTGTCTGGGTAATACATTAAATACTTTCTTTTCAGTGTGGTGTGTTGATACCTGCAATCAAAAGACATGGGTTTGAATTCTGGTTTAGTTACTTACTAGCTATGTGACTTTGGGAAAAGTAATTTGAAAGTTTTTTTCTCAACTGCAAAATAAGAGGGTTAGCCTAGGTGATCTTTTAAGCTCCTTCCAGTTCTAAATCTGTGGAAAAGAGTGAGAGAGATGGCAGGGTCTTGTGGATAGAGAGCTGGTCTTTCCGACCAGGAAGACTTAGGTTTAAATCTTACCTGTGACACATGCATTTGTGACTCTGGGGAAAATCACTTAATCTCCCAGTAGTACAGTCAATTCTCTACTACAGTGAAGGTGCCTACTGGAATTGGTAGAGGGAGTTTCCTCACCAGGGAATTTCCTACAGCAATGAAATCACAGGTTTAGTCTCTGTCCATATCCATGGTTGGCAACAATGGAGCAGAAAAGGAGTGGGCAGCTTTCAGAGATTTGGTGAACAGCACCACATTTACTCATCTGGGTCAGAACACTTGCAAACATCAGGATTGGTTTGATGAAAATGATTGGAAAATTCAGAAATTACTAAATGAAAAATGAGAACTCCACAGGGTTTACCAGCAGGACAGTTCATCCAGATCTAAGAAGGCAGTTTTTAATTCCATCAAAAGTAAAGTGCAGCTTTTTCTCTTCTGCCGCTTTTGCGTTTGCGCTTGGCCCCTCAGCTTCCGACATGCAGAAGGATGTCAGCAAGTTTGTGGATCTGTAAGTGCCTGGAAATGCTCTGTGAGCAACAGGATCATCGAGGCCAAGGACCACGTGTCCTTCCAGATGAATGTGAGCAAGATTGACAAGGTCACAGGCAGATTCAATGGCCAATTTAAAACTTACGCAATTTGTGGAGCAATTCGCAGAATGGAAGAATCTGATGACTCCGTTCTCCCACTGGCAAAAAATGATGGTATTGTTTCAAAGAACTTCTAATTGAAGAAATCTTGTGGAAAGTGTCTTCATAAATCAGAAAAACATAAAAAAAAAAGTAAAGTGCAAGTACAGCTTAGAGAGATGCAGGATTCTTGCCTCAGTAAGAAGGCAGATTCGATTCAGTTTTATGTTAATAGTAACAATCCAAAGCACTTCTACAATGCTCTTAAAGCTATTTATGGGCCAAAGACATTTGGTGCATCTCAACTACTCAGTGCTGATGGAGCCTCACTGATCATGATCCTAGAGAGATGGGTTGACCACTTCCATACTGTTCTCAACAGACCGTCATCAACTAATGCCGAAGCCATTGTCCTCCTTCATAGGCTGATCCTTTGTCTGGGGAATGGATATCTACCCAAGAGCCTATGTGGCTTCAGAAAGGGCCGAGGAACAGTTGATATGATGTTTGCTTCCTGGCAACTCCAGGAGAAATACCAGGAGCAGAACAGAGGTCTGTACACAATGTTCATCAATCTGACCAAGGCCTTTGATACAGATGGCCATGAGGGCTTGTGGAAGATAATGTTGCAATTTGGTTGCCCAGAAAAGTTCATTAATATTGTACACCAGTTTCACCATGGCATGCTTGCACAGGTTCTGGAAGATGGATGATCCTCTCACAGTTTTCTAGTCATCAATGGAATGAGACTGGGCTGTATGCTTGCTCCCATGCTTTTTAGCATAAGGATGAAAAAAAGCATCCAGGTCAGCTACTGCACTAAAGTTACATTATTAAAATTGAAAAGGCTATAAGCCAAGACTAAAGTGCAGGGAGAGTTGATGGGAGACTTTTTATTTGCAGATGATTGTGCACTCAAGGTAGTCTCTTGAGACTGAGATGCAATCCAGTATGTCCAGTATAGATCACTTCTTTGCCTCTTGTGCTAATTTTGGCCTGACAATTAACACCAAGAAAACAGAGTTTCTCCACCAGCCAGCACCATACCATTCATACATGGAACCATTGGTTACAACAAATGGAGAAATTTTGAATGCTGTGGATAAGTTCATTTATCTTGGCAGTATATTTATCTTGGATGGACACATAGATGATGAGGTTGGCCCATGAATTACTAGAGGTAAATCAGTGTTTGGGAGTCTCCAAAAGAAAGTGTAGGAGAGAAAAGGTAACAGACTGCCTACCTAACTGAAGATCTACAGAGCCATGGTGCTACCTCATTGTTTTATACCTATGAAACCTGGACAGTCTATCAACACCATACCAGGAAACTAAATCAATTCCATTTGAATTGTCTTAGGAAGATTCTGAAGATCAGCTGGCAAGATAAGGTACCAGATATTGAGGTCCTTTCTCAAGTTGAATGGCCAGGCATTCAAACTATTGCAGAGTACAACTCTGATGAGCTGGCCACATTGTTCAAATGCCAATTGTACATTTGCCTAAATGTACATTTTGCATAAAAAATTTTATGGAGAACTCACACAAAGCAAGCACTCACATGGAGGTCAGAAGAAGTGCTACTAGGACACTCTCAAGGTCTCTCTGTAGAACTTTGGTACTGAATGTAAGACATGGGAGACATTGGTACAGGACCATCCAACATGATGTACCTGCATCATTGACCATGCTGTGCTCTATGAGCAAAGCAGAATTATAGTAGCTCAAGAGAAACATGATGAGAAAATTTAGAGATATTTTCATTCCAAATGTTCAAAGGAACTATTTGTGCCTGACCTAACCCTTCAGACCTACTGTTGGTCTGATCAGCCACAGTGGGACACACTGTACTTTGACTCAACATCATGATGTCATTTTGGTCCTCCTCAGGTAGGAAGGACAACAATCCTAACCAACCCAACAGGCATACTGTTGCTTGCCAGCCCAAACTCAAATCCTTTCCACCTTAATAGAAATTGTCACAGCACTTGCCCTTCTGCTGACATAGTCTTCAGGAACATATGGAAATATAAGAGGCAAGATTAGTTGGGAACTTTAGTAGACATTGGCCACAGTTATTTTAAGATGATATTATTATTGCAGATTTCATTACAGAGATAACTTTTTTACCTAGCAAATTTTTAAATAGCTCTACCAATGAAATTACAGGTCTAGCCCCTGTTCCACTCTAAATCTAGGAATAATTTTGGGAAATATCTTGTCTGAGGAAGTCAAGAATCATTTATTAAGAGTTTACTATGTTCCAAGCACTGTGCTAAGGCTCTAGGGATACAAAGAAAAGCACAAAAGCCCTCTGCCCTCCACTGCCTCATAATCTAGTAGGGGAGAGAAACACACAAACAACGATATACGAATGAGATATATGCAGGATAAATTGAAAGTGATCTCAAAGGGAAGGCGCTAGCATTAAGGGGTACCGGAGAAGAGGCAAGAAGGATGAAGGAAAGCTTTCAAGGCTGCATTTTATTATACTAACAAGTCAAATACTATTAAAAAAAATGCACATAGAGAATCTTTATGCTCTTTATGCCTCTGTGTAGAGCATTCTGAGGCAGAAAACCCTCCGTTAGTTTCCGCACAGCAATGGAAGTGGTTTCCAAAGGGTTTTGGACTTGGGGTGATTAGCAGGGTCATACTATATCACAAACAGGGGTTGGGAAGGAGCTCGCCCGGAGATGCAGGAAACGGGCACGACAACGTCGGGACTCCAGGTCGGGTACATGCTGGGGGACGCCCCCACTTCCCCGGGCTTCTCCAGGAGGAGAGGGCAGAGAGTGCGGGGGCGGGGCGGAAGGGAGGGGGGAGAGGAAAGGGGAGGGAAGTGAAGGTCACGTGTTGCTGATTTCCAGATTTAGAACGTTGTCCTCGAGGTTTGGGCTAATCCAATAGATTGTCTGCGTGTGTGGGGGGGGAACCCTTATCATTAGAATGACCATCTAAATCTAGCCAAGCTCCCTGAGTCTCGGGTAACAGAAATGACTTAAAAGGAGTGAGGTCACGGAAGGGTATGCAGATCACGTGACCTGGAATTTTAAGGGAGTGAGGAAATGGTGGGAAGGATCCGGATTAGGTCACTTAAGGTGGAGAGGGTGGGGGCCATGGGGTGATGTGAGCAGGGCGAGGGCTGGTGGGTGACGTTTGAATGACGTATATTTATCCCCTTCTCTCCCCCGCCTTGGAACTTCATGTTCGGTGGTGAGCTCCTTCCGCCCAGCTTCCGGTAGGGGCGAAGCATCCTTGAGTCCTGGCAGCCTCACTTCCGTTCAGGTTGCAACTGCAGCTTCCCGTTTCCGTCTTTCCTGAGGGCGAGGAGAGAACTGTCTCTGTGCGCACGCGCAGATTCCTTGCGGGAGGGGGGAGGGGCTGGAGTTGTAGGATTGGGAGGAGGAGGAGGGAATTACAACCTGTGGAACGTTGAGGGGTCCCAGTGACCGGATTCTTCCCATTGGCTACAGGAGGTGGAGGGGGGCGGAGCCTGGGGTATTGGGGACTTGAGGGGGGTCCCGGGGGTGGGTTGGGGAAGAGGGGGTGGTGGAGGGGCCAGTGTTTCATATTGGGAACTTTGGAGGCCTTGAGGTTTGGACCAATCCGTAAGACCCCCGGCAGGTGCGGGGGGGGGGGGCGTGGGGAAAAACCGGGTCAGCATGCGGGACCGGACCCACGAGCTGAGACAGGTAAGACCGAAGTGGAAGCCAGCCACCTGACGCTGGGATGCCAGTGGGAAAAGGAGCGGGCGGCATCCCGAGTGGCGTCCATACCACGGGGGTTCGAGGGCACCCGGAGGGGGGGGGACGCCCCACACGAGGATGAGGGGGTATAGACGCGGGGTGAGGGGGCTGGCCAGCGCCTCCCATCAGTGACCCCGGACCTTATAGGGGGATGACAGCTCTGATGATGAAGGGAAAGAGCGAGTCGCTCTGGTCGTGCATCCGGGCACCGCCAAATTGGGGAACCCCGACGAGGAATTCTTCCAGAAGGTAAAGGTGGCGAGGGGGCGCCAGGAGGTGCGATGCCCTGGAACGAGGCGGAGGGGCTTCCCGGAAGACTCTCAGGGAGGGTGGAATGCCTGGGTTTGGAGGAGGGAGGAAGGAAGAGGAATCAGGAAGACTGGAACCTAGCGTGGGTGGGGGGGAGTCCCCGTTGCTCCTTGCCCTACTCCCTCTTTCCCAGGTTCGGGGCATCCGACAAACCATGGGGAGATTGGAGAACAAAGTTAAGGAATTGGAGAAGCAGCAGATCACCATCCTCGCCACGCCTCTTCCTGAGGAGAGTGAGTGAGGGCTAAGGGCGCATGCTCATTCCCTGTTCCCTAGGGATTATGGGCTTTGTAGTACCTCACCTGCACTAGTGGGACGGCTTTCCCAGGTGGACAGAAAGTACGCGCAGTCTCCAGGATCCCTGTTATCAGAGCTATCTTGAAATCATGCTTTTCTCCTATTCCCACCCTTGCCTCCAATTCAGGCATGAAGCAAGATCTCCAGAACCTCAGGGAAGAAATAAAACAATTGGGGAAGGAGATTCGGACTCAGCTGAAGGGTAAGTGCTGGTTGGCTATTCTGCCAGGGTTCTGGGAAGAAACCTGAGGCTAGAGGCAGGTCCCCTAAGCCCATTGCCCTATCCCTCCTTTGTCCTTTAACAGCCATTGATCCCCAGAAGGAGGAAGCAGATGAAAACTGTAATTCTGTCAACGTAAGGATGAGAAAGACCCAGGTGCGTCGGTCCTTTCTAGAACCCTAGCATTAACTTAAAATGAATTTTTTTCAATTAACAAAAATCAATTTTTTCTCCCACCTCCCTCCTGTTGGGGGAGGGAGGAACAAAGAAAAACAAAATTCTTGTAACAAATATGCAGAGTCAAGGAAAACAAATTCTTACATTGGCCGTGTTTTTTTAAAAAAAGTCTCATTCTGCACCTTGAGTCCATCATCTCTCAGAAGTTGTGTGAATTGCTTTGTCGTGGCTCTTTGCATTGATCAGAGTTCAAAGACAAAATTGTTTGTTTTTACCTTGTTATTGTGTAAATTGTTCAATGCAGAATCTTGACATTTCAATAAATGTTTCCTGAAGGCCAAGCTCTGAGGGAGGGGTGGAGTTTGGGGGATGGGGGGATTCTGAATGCCTTGTCCTGGGGCTGCTTGCAGTTTTAAATGATGAGTTTCAAACCTAGATCAACACTGGACTGTATATATACCGAATGTCTAAGTAGTTAAATGCCTTTAAGACTTCTTTGTTGGCTGTGTTGATCAGGATAGGAGAGGAGGACTTTAGTTGGACCATGAAAGGTGGATATGACTTAGACAAATGAGGGGTGTAGGATGACAGACTAGTCGGGGGAACAAAGTTTGTAAATGTGCTGTCAGGAATACTCCTACCTTGTTCAGGGGACGGTTAAGTTGAACACTTTGTCTGAAGTGGAAGATTAGTTTTGGGAAGATAAAGCCGAAAAAAAAAGTAGTTTGGGCCCAGATAATGGAAGGGTTTAGGTTCTAGACTGAGGATTTTTTACTTTATCTTGAAAGCAATGAACAATTATTGAAGAAGGTTCTTGAGCTGTGGAATCAAATGATGATAGCTGGACACTGCTTGTGTGGGATGCATTGGTGGAAAAAGAAGAGACTGAAAGCAGAGGTAGTCTTTAGAAAATGGTTGCAATAGTCCAGGTATGATGTGAGCTGACTTATTTGGAGGGCAGTGATGATCTGACCAGACCACAGACAACCATCTTCTGATTCCCAACTAGGCCTTCCTTAACTGACATTCCATCCTGTACTCTCCCTATACTCTTCTACCCACAGCATGGAATCTTATCCCAACAATTTGTTGAGCTCATCAACAAGTGTAATACAATGCAGTCAGAATACCGGGAAAAGAATGTAGAACGGATCCAGAGGCAGCTAAAGATCAGTGAGCACTGGGGAATGGGGGTAAGGGGAGATGGAAAGGCTGAGGGGACACTGAACTGTGGGGGGAGTGGTATCCTTCAAAGTAAAAGGACAGGGTTGGGGGTAGCCTCAGATCTAAAATGGTCGGTCAGAATGCTGAGCGTTTAAGTAAGGGCATGCTCTTTCCCCCTCCCCCACTCCCCTTCCCAGCCAATGCTGGAATGGTGTCAGAAGAAGAGCTGGAGCAGATGCTGGAGAGTGGACAAAGTGAAGTGTTTGTGTCCAACGTGAGTCTGTCAGATATTCAAACCCTGACCCTCAACCCAAATTTCTTCTGGGTAGGTTCCGTTGGTGCTCTGTTCCCCTGCCAAAGGAAAACTGGTATGAAGTAGAACTTCAGTTCTCTTAGGTTAAGGAGATGGGTTGGCACTTGAGTCTTCCTACTTCCAACCTGGCTTTGTCCTCTCCATTGTCTTAGTCCACTCATTCACATGACATCGTGGATTAGAGTATGGGCAGCCAGGGTAGTGTCTGTATGTCCATGTCCTTTCTAGAGCTGTAAGGATTTCATCCTCGAGATGGAGCACTTTGGGGGATGGGGTGATGTTTATAAGCATGCCTCCATTCTTCCCCAACCCAGATCCTGAAGGACACACAAATGACACGGCAGGCATTGAATGAAATCTCCACCCGACATGGGGAAATCCAACAGCTTGAACGAAGCATCCGGGAACTCCATGAAATCTTCACCTTTCTGGCCACTGAAGTAGAGATGCAGGTGGGAAACTACCAGCTCCCTGCTAGCCCTCAGTAGAGCTAAGGCTCCACCTTGCCATGGCCTCGCCTCCTCATAGCTTTGCCTTTTTTCAGAGCCCTGCTACCTTTTAAACCACTGCCCCCCCCAGTTTACCCATTTTTAAGCGTCCTTCTAGTCTTATTCTCCACCCTGCCTAATTCATTAAGCTATGTGCTAAGTATGTACCTGGTAGCCTGGGAGGATAGAGAGGTGTTCATTTCACTGCCTGACTCCCTTAGGGACTTACAAATTCGACAAACATTAAAGACCAACTAAGTGGGAGGCACTGAGCTAAGTGCTGTAGATACAAAAATGAATCTGATAAATACCCTGCTCTCAAAGAGTATACAATCTAATGGGAAGTGAAGGGACTCCAACTATTGGAGGAAAGGAAGGGAATCTATTCTTGGAATAGAAGATGGAATGAAGGAAGTTGAGGAGACAGGTGAGGGCCAGACTGGAATGGGGATAGAGATGTTTATCTGGAATGTACAATAAGTGAGATGTAATAATATGAGATAAGGCTGGTGTAGTTGCTTGCATCTAGATGAAGTGCCTTGGATACTAGAGTCAAGACTTTTATAATTTACTATGTAGGCAGTGGATGGGGAGCCATTAAAGGTTTTTTGTAAGTACAACTGTAGTGTACACATAGTGGTGCATTAGGAAGATTACTCAATAGATTGGAGGTTGAATTACAGGCAGGAAGACCCTTTTAGGAGGTGATGACCATAGTTTAGGAGAAAAGAGATGAAGACTAGTAGATGTGACCATAGGAGTGGAAAAGGAATGGATGGATGCAAGAGATATTTTAAAGTTAAGTGGAAAGAACTTGGCAGTTGATTGGATGTGTGGAGCAATAGAGACAACTTCAAGGTTATGAGCTAGGACAAGTCTAGCAGGGAAAATATGTTCAATTTTAGATATATTGAATATGAGGTCCCCAGAGAGAAAGCAAACAGCCAGTGGATCTGGAGCTCTGAAGAGAGATTGGAGATATAAATATAGATTTGGGAGTCATTCACATAGAGGGAGTGATTGAGATCACCAATCAAGAGAGTATAAAGAGAAAAGGGAAGACAGCTGAAAATAGATGTCTTTATGAAGACATCTGCACTTAGAAGATGGAAGCAAAATAGGTCAGAGAACTAGCAAGACAGTGGAGAGGTAGAATCTTGCCAGGAAGCCCAAGGAGGAGATGGCCAACCATGTCAAATGCAGAAAGTTTCTACCCATGATGATATTCAACATTTGAGTGGTGCTAGGAGGAACAGAATTGTAGTGTAATGCAAAGATCCCTTAATTTATATTCATGTGACCATATTCTGACCATATTCATGTGATCATATTCTGTTTCTGCAACTACTTGTGACTAATGAGTGACAAATTCTCTCGACCTCAGGTTCCCGTAAAAAGAGGGCATTAGACTCTCTCATATCCCTTCCAGCTCTAAATCTCTGACTTCTGGCTTGGGGAAGGGGGAGGGCAAAATCAGAGGAGACTTCATGAGAAAGGTGGCATTGAGGCTGAACTGAAAAGAATGAGTGGGGTGTAGATTTGGAGGTGGCAGTAGGGGATGAGGGGAAAACAATTTGAACACGTAGAGGAGTGTGTGGGGTCATCAGTCTAGTTGTACATAGGAGATAAGGTGATTTAGACCCTGAATGTGAATGCCAGAGTAGGAGGCTGGACTTGATCTTAGTCTGCTTTGGTCGCTTCTCCTCACTCCAGCTCCTTCTTAAACCCTGACCTTCCTCTTCCTCTTCCCTCCCTAGGGGGAGATGATTGACAGGATTGAGAAGAACATTCTCAGCTCAGCAGATTTTGTGGAACGGGGTCAGGAGCATGTCAAATCTGCACTGGAGAGTCAGAAGAAGGCCAGGAAGGTGAGGGAAGGCACTCCTACAAGCACCACCAACACTCTCCTCCCATTCCTGGTGGCCCCAGGCCATGCTCTAAGCTCCCTCTCCTCTCCTGCAGAAAAAGGTGGGGATCGCTATTTGTGTCATTATTGCAGTTCTCATCCTTGCTTTAGTCATTGGTCTCAGCGTAGGAACCTAATAGCAACCTTCATCAGCTGAGGTGAGCAGCTTTACATACCTGAGAACTGGTACTGTCCCTTCCCCCTTTTATTCCCCAAAAGCTCCTGCACTTACACCCTTTGTAACCCAGTCCTGTTCCAGGACTTCTACCCCAAAACAGCCCTTTACCCGAAATCCAAGTATTTTTTTTTTTGGAGTCCCTTGCTTAGCAGCTCCTGCTCTCCTTACTCTTCCAGTTCCCAAAGACCTAGAATTTCCCCACCCCCCACTTTCTCCCTCTGACCCTCCTCTCCCTCCTTTCCCTTACAGGTGAGGGGGGAGACTTGGCTTTGGGGGATTCATGGAACCTAGGAAGGAAGTCAACAGCACTGCCTCCTTCTTATGCCCCCAACGGCACAGTTAGGAGGCCCAGCTGGCAAAGGAGGCAGATTTTTTTCTTGGAGGGGAGAAGTGGAGTGGGAGGAAGATGGGTGGCACCTGGAGCCCATTTTATCCCTGGTTCTACCCTCCAGAGGTCTCCTGCCCTCTGCACCCTCATTTTATTTTCCCTTTCATTCACCTGAGCTTCACTTCTTCATCCCTAGAATCCTATTCCAGCCTTTTTTATCCCCCCCACTCCCACCCTTTGGGGTGACTACCAGGGAATTCAGTGGGGTGGGGAAGCCTCAGAGTGAGGGCAGGGAGCAGGGCTTGACCCTTGCTGGGCCTCAGCTCCAGCTTAAATGGGTTTCTAGGTCCTGGGATCATCTGGGACAAAATTTTGTAAGAAATAAAGTTAAAACAGTGTATCATGTTTGTATGTGTTTGATTTCTGTAGTCCCTTGGACCTCTTAGAACTCAGTTGACACTTTTCCAGTTTGTCAGTGCCCCCTTTTACCTTTTCTTTTACTCACAAGCCAGTATTCAGACCAGACTCCAGATATTTTTCCCCTATATATACCAGATATATAGGTATAGATATAACAGAGGTCAACCTGACCTTTCCCAGGTCCCTTTTGCTTATTAGATGGTGGAGGTGGGACCTAAGCAGGGGGGTAAAAGGAGCTGTAATCTTTAGGCTCAACTCCTGCTGGGGGGAGCCTCCTAGATCTCTCTGGTCTTCCCAGGCCTTCCCCAGGCCAGGGATCCGTGGTTTGAACTGAACTGGCAGATGAGAGGAGTGGTGAGGGTCGTGCAGAGCTGTGTCTGTAGTAAGGGTTGCTGTGCTGGACAAGAGCCCAGAACCCGGGCCTTGACCCGAGGAGGTTCAGATTTTAGGGGCAGGGTGGGGGCGTCATGACGTTTGGGTCTTTTGATCGAGGTAGGGGAAATTTGAGCAGGCAGGTCAGGTTTTGGGAGAGGGGGGCAAAGAAAAATAAAATAAAATAAAACAAAACTTTGATGGGTGGATTTCGGCCAGACTACTTGGATTCCGTCTCCTCTCCACACCTCCAGGCCATTCCTGCCGCTGACCCTGGCCTTTCCTCTGGCCCACCCGCAGTGCCACCCAGCTTCAGCAGAGGAACGCGCTGGTCACTGGCAAGCCCCGGACGTCACCACGCTTACCAGCTCCCTGCCCCTGGGTTGGGAGGTGAACCCTAAAAGAGAGAGGACTGGGGGGCTGAGTGTGGTTCTTGCAGGAGGCTGCCGTCGTGGCTGAGCTGCGATAGCACAGGGCCTGAGAGCTAAGGTTATGGGAAAACGGCAGAAATCTCTGCAGGGTCTGAGCCAGAAAACTGCTGGACTCCGCACTTAAATCCATTTCCCAGAGATGGGGGAGTGGGCGTGGCCAAATCGGAGCTGCATAAGGATTGGGCCTGGGATCCAGAGGTGGGCGGAGCCTCAGAGCTGAGTTCCATTCAGTAAAGGAGCGAAGCGGGGAGCTGAGTGAGAAAGAATGGTCTCGGTTGGTGCAGGGACTGAAGTTCCGGGCCGTGATTGGCTAGAAGTGAACAGGAGGCGGGATCAGAAATCAAAGGATCTGAGAATCGGTGGAGAAACTCTTTGGGGGCGTGACCAAGCAGAGAGTAGCTGCAGACTCCCTGTACACCTCTATTTAGTTCTCAGCAGCCTGGGCCCGGCAGGGCGTGTCTATCTTTGGCTGCTTTAGATTGCATGTCCCGTGTATAGGTAGGTGAGGAGGACCTATCCTGGGTCCCGGGGGAGAGAGCTGGGGGTAGGGGGCGGACTGCAGGGGAAGGGACACAGGTACCCCGATAGGGAGCTGGGGGGAGGGGAGTGGGTAGCAGGGGAAAGGACACAGATCCCTCCACAGGGAACTGGAGGCGTTGCGGGGTGCTTCAGGAAAAGAGACACTTAGGTCGCCCAACAGGGAGTTGGGTGAAGCTGGAAGGTCGTAACGCAGGGGTCTGTGGTGGAAGCTGAGAAGGCTTCGGAACAATCAATATACATTTATTAAATGCTTATTATGTGCCAGATACTGTGCTAAGCCCTGGAACAGGATCTCTTCCCCCTCCCCTCCCGAACTCGAGGTGGGAGCTGGAGTCAAGCTGTTTGGAGCTGTACGTACATAGGGGATAGGTCTAGATACTAGAAAGTAGAGGACAAGATGTGTGCACGGGTCCTGCTGGAGGGCTTGGGGATCCGAAAGGCAGGGCAACTGAGCTTTCGGACTTTCTTCCTCCATCCTCTACCTCCAACATAATATTGTGCCCTCCGCCACTTTAGTCCAGGCTTTCTCCTCTCTTCTTCTGAATTACAGCAAGGGCACCTACTGGGCTTTGATCCAGACCTTTGGGACCTACTATGTCATCTGCCTGTAACTGGGTGGCAGCCTGTCCTCTGTCATTGCACTGAACCTCTACTTGGCTACACTGGATGGAGTCATGCCTCACACACTATGTATCATCCTTTCTCAGGAGGACCTGGAGGGCTAGTGGGTGGCCCATAGTTCTGTGGACTCCCCCTGCAGCTCCCTACCTTCTAATGGTTTCTGGAGTCCCTACTATTGGGCATACTGTGAGAACCAGGGGAGGTAGTTGGGGGGCAACTGTAGGAGTGTGCTCAGACTCCTCTTCCCTTCAGGAGCCAATGAAAGACTTCAGTCTTGCAGAAAACCTCTGAACCATGTCAGGCATGGTTTTCTCAGCTGTGGCCGCACTTTACATTTTGCTGAGCCTCAAAGACTCATAGAAGGAAGCACTGCACCAAGCTGTAGATTATGTATCTGAGTAAAGAAGAGTGCTTAGTAAAGACAGTAGTCTTGGAAATTGCCCAACCTGGTGGACTGTGGGATCAGAAAGAAGCATGCTTATGTAGCTGTCCTGAGACAGAGGATACAGAAACCTGATGTTGCTTAAAGCACAGGGAGGAAGGCGGAGGAGCAGTCACCTAGAGTGTAACCAAACTTCAGGCCCATGTGTTGCACAGGAATGTCTTTTGGTGTCACTGATGCCCATGTGCTTGTGACTTTTGAGGCCCTGGAGAGATCTACTATTATGATACTGGACCAGAACTCTTCTACGCGGCACCACACCTTTGACTTTGGTCATATGAGTCTGGGCCAGGGTGGGAAGACCCAGTTGCATTTGAAGGTATGAAACCAGGACTTCTTCGCTGGTGATGATGACCTTCTCGGCAGCTGCAACAATGATTTGGACACAGCAGGAAGCCACCATAATCACTATCCCTTGTCCCAGGGCTGACAAACATAACTACTTGCTGACATGTGGGTCATACCTAAGGGATCCATGGTGCTCTCCCTACATAGGTGTGAGAGAGTAGTTTCCCCTTGCCTTCTTGAGACCCTGTGTTTCTATATAGTGTCCCACTTTGTATTCCAAAGGCATAGCAAATTACTTTTTGACATTGGTTGCTTTGTTATTATTTGTGTTTCTTCTCCAGTCTTTTGGTGTAAATCCCTGAGAATAAAATTATGGCAATAATTTACATAGCACATAAAGCATTTTGCAAACTTTTAAGCATATAATTCCATTTGAGCTTTATAGCAAACCTCCGAGGTAGGTCTGGGTGGCCCAGTGGATAGAGCAATGGACTTAAGAGTTAGGAAGACCTTGGTTTGAATCCTACCTCAGACACTTATACCTGCAAGAAGTAATTTAATCTCTCTCAGCCTCAGTTCCTCATCTGTAATGGGGATAATAATAGCACTGACTTCCCAGGGTTGTTTGGAGGATCAAATGAGAATATTTGTAAAGTTCTTTGCAAACTTTAAAGCGCTATGTTAATATTCGCTATTACTGTTATTAATATAATTTTTGTTATCCCCATTTTACAGATGAAGAAACTAAGACTGAGTAGTCAGGTGATTTGCCCATAGTCACAAATTTCAGAATTGAAATCTGAAGCCATTTCTTCCTGACTTAAACAAAATCTGACATTCCAGTCTGAAGCTACACTCACTTCTATGAATAAACCCTGTGCTTTCTCATATTTTGTTTTCGTTCAGCAAACATTATTTACTGTATGCAGAACTCTGAAAGGTGATAAAGCAATATACTGCTGGACATAAGTCAGTTTCTGCCTTCTCAGCCAGTTTACAGCTTAATAAGGGTGGGATATGACTCATATCTGGAAAACTGTAATGCACAATGATGATGCTATTCTGCACTGGTTGGTGGAGATGCCTAAAAGATCTGGTAAAAGAGCTACAACCACAACATTCATAATGAATTTTAGACAGGGTAGGAGGTGACCCTGAAAAAAAAGCCAGAATTGATGGTCAGCTGGACTGGAGAGCAATGCAGGTGGGAGCAGATCTGGTAGAGAACAGCAAGACGACACATCGGTCATCACGTCCATAGCTGAGCTGCTTCCCCTGGTCACCATGCTCCACACCTCCTAACACAGCTGACCTGGTGACATGTGTACCCTATGTGGATCACCCACACATAATTCCTATAAAGATCCATTCTTTCCACTGACCACGTATGTATTTGAAAAAGAGTGAGTTCAAGGTTTAGGAGAGGCATGTTACATTATTACTTTGTTTTCATTCCTATTCATGTAAAGGAGAGGCAGCTCTAGAGACCAGGCCTTCGAGGCAGGAAGTTCATGTTCTATGGCGGACACATAGTGGTTCTGTGACCCAATGCAAGTGACTTAACCTCTTGGTGCCCCCATGAACCTCTAACACTATCAAGTTGCTCATCTATGTTAATAGAGGGAGTTTCCTCCCTGGAAGTTCCCTAAAGTGATACTCATGGGTCTGGTCCATAATAAAATTAAGCAAGTTAGGAGGCAGCTAGGTGGCTTAGTGGATCAAGTGCTGGGCTTGGAGTCAGGAAAACCTGAGTTCAAATCTGGCCTCACTGTTAAGGAAGTTTGCAGTGTTGAGGCTTATTCCCTAATGCAACAGAAAGGGATTATCTAAAACAATGTTGCAAAGGGAACAAAAGATATTTTGGCCATGCAAATAAAAACTTGGATTTGTTCATGGGTGGGGGGAGTGATTATGTTTTGGATGATTTTGTTTATATATATATATCTACATATACATACACACATACATATATATAAAAACATTTTACAGCATGTTGGTTTTAAAATAATATAGCGAGTGCTATAAAATTGATTTCTTTTGTATGCAATTAATCCCTCTGGGTGATTATTTGTTTTTCAAAGGAAAAAAGTATATTTTTGTTTTTAAAGCTAAATTAAGAGAGAACCTTAAATATGATCAGAGGCACAAAGCCTTTGCCTTCTGCATAACTTTAGGAAGAACCTGGTGGCAGCCATTGATCAATTTGATCATTTTCTTTTTCTTTTTCTTTTCTTTTTTTGGTCTGAAAACAAAGGCAATATTTTATTCAAGTAACTGAAAATGTTTTTCCA